TTTTACGGTGATAATATTGTTTTCTTGTGCCCAATAATGCATAATTTCATTTGATAAACACGTTTAGATTGAATGGTAATTTATAATCAGTCACAAGAACGTCGAATCTGAATCACTTGAAAAAAACACGGGGGTGCTTAACTTTTCTCCAGGTGTATATTTACAAAGTTCACTGCTTCATCGTTCATTATTGAAAAAACGAATGCCAGGAATGGTGTTTTCATAAATAAACATTTAAGTTATAGCTGAATAAATATATGCGTGTTAAAATGCGTATAAGCAGTTTGTTTTGCTGTTCCTTTGACTTTTTCTTATCTTATTTGCAGATTTGTAGAAAGCTGAATTACTTCGACGGAGAAAAATTAATTCGAAAACAGGTTACATGTTGACAAATTATATTTATTTTTCAGTTTGTTGATTTTAATACATTTCGTTTCCTCATGCGTATTTAGAGAGGACGAACTCCATTGGAATAAAGAAAAAAACAACAACAGATGTTCAGCTATTTCAACCATTTCCGAAATTGGTAGTGTATCCAGATGGAAAGGGGGGTCTGGTTGCCCCGGAAACTCCCCACGCCGCCTTTTTATTTTCATATTTGACAGTAGTATACAGTATATTCTTAAATAGTGGTCCCAACTTTTCATTATAAAAATTCCATTAAAATACAATTTTAGAGTTAATTTTTGCTGAAAACTGGGGGTGGTGATTTTTTCTAATTTATTGAATTTTTAAATACGTCCCCTTGGTTACGTACCAATAACGCTTGCATGTTCGAAGTCATTTGATTTGAACCTCCCATTCCCCCCTCTCGGGTGATTCTGGATACACTATTATAAGTGTCAATAAAATACCCATGAATGTTTACCCAGTACGTTTAACGAGCACGAAGATTCGAAAACAAATGGAACTGGGTAAAAACAAACAAGGTTACAATAACCGTAACAAAAGATAAGATGCGAGATGTAATAAGAATATTTACTTCGTTATCCTGTCTCATTTGAAAATCCTATACGGTTGTCATCATAAAACTATTCCAAAATTTTATAGTAGCACCTTGTGTATACATGTACCCTTTCAGACTTTTAGATTTACATCACATTTTAAAATCAAAATGGGGTATGAAAACGATCAGTATGACTTGTCTATTTAAACTCTGATACGATTGCAAATCTCGATAGATTCTAAGGTTTTTACCCAACTTATCATACAACAATTTCTTGAATTATGACTTCTATTTTAGGGCTTTCTCATTACTTTCACGTCAGAAATTGGTGTGAAACCGTATAACACCTAAAACTTAATTTATACGTAATGAAGAACACAGAACCGTAGAAGGTACATTGATACGAATATATATTTGAACTACATACAAATACTGCTACATATGTAATAGTTGGATGTACAAATCTCATTTCCATAGTTTCAATACACAAAAAAGATTTTTCACATATTCTTATAGAAATGCACACATTATGTATACACAATTACGAGACTACCACAATTTGAAGCAACCGATCAACAGGTAATTTACTTGTCAAGACAACAGTCATCAGTCGATAATTTCTCAGACATCTTATATCTAGCGCGTCTCCAAGTTGAGACTCTTCTCATCAGATCATAACCCCTTGCAACAACAAAAAAAAAAAATGCCCGCCTTTGAGCATCTTATCCTCAGAATACTTATTTGAGGTCACTAGAATACCTTATTTTAAGAGGAACCTCCACCATACTACCCTCGTAATTAGGACATTTCATTCATGGGGTACCAATCATCATGACATTGTTTGCGACCAGTCTGTACAAAGTACATATATAACATTTTAGTTTTATATGCAAATAAACTTGAAGCAAAAGCGTTAAAAAGGATGAAGAATAAAGGTTGCAAAAAATTTCCAAGTATTGCTTGCATCACTATTATCCTTTAATTAACAGTAATTTTAAATACGTAGTAAATAGTATATTTTTTTTTATATATCAGGAACGTTATAAATTTACCCAAAACAAAAAAGATATGTATATAAATTTTAATAGTGATTTCATTACAATTTAAAATGGAAAGACATTAAATATGTTAGATAATGGAATTGGCAAGGTTTCTGGAGACGTCATACAATTAAATTATTTAGGTCATTTGTTTTTCTTGTATATTAAAGACAAATAAGTTGTTTACCAATCTGCAGAGGAAATTCAATTGTAGTTCAAAGGATATATATCAACTAAATTAGCATCTTATTTATTACATATACATAAGAAAAAAACAGTAAAAATTACTTTTTCAAATTAAATTTCAATGGATAACAAGCATTACATATATTTTTATTGCATTTTTTTTAAAACCGGATAAATGTGTATGCAGTTTACTTGTGTAACACAATTGTATCATTATGATTGGAGTAGTAAGCAAGTAGAAGTAGCATCTAAACAATTACTGTAATTTAAACACTGAATTAATTTCATTACTACAGATCTCAACTGAGAATATATTATAATTAAAGAGAATCTAGTAGAAAGCCTAATAAATATTACCATTTATTTCGAGAGAAATATTATTCCAAGTTTAATCAATTGTACTTTACAAAGATAAAACTTTTGAACTTTATGATAAATTAGAATAAAAAGTAATACAGTGCTGCAAAAAAAAAAAGATCGAATAGAGGAATCATGAATAATAATAATAAATTTAATATAAATTAAAAGAATGTTTTAAATAATCTGAAATAGGTTTAGACTAATCTAACGCGTATCACTTATTTAAATATACACTTATCCAAATAAAAAAAACACACTAAATAACATTAAACTAATAGAAATAACCCATATAACATACCACGAAAGGTGTTATACAGACGAGCTGTTTTGTACAAAATCAAATGGCAACAACTATTATTTAGATTAACGGTGAGCTAAAAACAATAAAAAAATAGCGAAAAACTTGGGGAAGAACATCGTTCAGTTGTTAATTATTGGACAATATTACCCATTTTTCAATTCTATAATAATACCACTGAGAGGTAGATAAACATAGCCATAAATAAACTAATAAAATGCTTACCCCTTTCTTCGCTGTTCTTAAAAATTATTAAATTATAAATAGTGGATTCTCAGATAAAAGGTTGTGCTAAATTAATGTGTCGTGGTGTAATATTTTCTTTCCAGTTTAAATACTATGATACACATCTAAGTACGAGCAAGTTGAGAGTTCCAATTAGAAATTAAACAAAAATCTACCTTGGTGAAAGAATTTTGTTATTTATTAGTTCTTAGTATTTTAAAAATAAAGTTGAGATTAGCTTTAACAGCCTAGTTTAAAAACCTAATCATCGGATTTAAAATTAAGATGAATTACGATGGCGATATGATTCACAGTACAAAACAAGCTAGATTATATACATCTTGTGGTGGTTATTATGCCCTGATTCATCATCGGGAACACGGTGTTTATAAATAACTGCAAGCTACTGGAATCAACACTGGGAATTATCTAGTCTGGTGATACTGAATTTCCTTTGCCACAAGCAGAGGTTTGAGACGTATCTCAATGTACCTGCTGATTTTGTTTTTTTTATCAGTTTGAAAATCAAACGTATTTCCTTTTCATTTCTTATTATAAAGTATAACAACGACACCACGTCAGTTCTGCTTTTGGTATCAGAAGAAGCGATGCAACGTTACAAGTTAGTCAAGTAATTCAGTGCAACTGTCAGAAAAACGAATCAAGGAACCAAAAACTAGTTTTCAAATTAATTAGAAAGAGTTTACTAAAATTTCCAGTACAAAGGGCATTAACTAAAAGCGACTATAATTTGCTAAAGTTTAAACTTGGTTATTAAGGCATTCGTAAACTGCAATGGTTTCTAGAGTTATTTTAGAGACACTGTATTAGCAAATTTACAAAAATCTTTCATTAATTCCATTAAGCATAAAGAAGAAATGACAATGGCTGAGGAAATGTCACAGCAAACCACATATAGAAATTTTCAGAAAAATAACACGCAACATCTAAATTGTTGCAAGATTGGAATGGAAGAACAAGTATATATTAGTTTTGAAAGAAGTAAAAGTTTCAACAATGAAACTATACCACTTTAAAGACAAATTATACATGTAACTTCTACATGATCGTGAAAATTCTTAAGACAGAAAAGAGAAATACTAATAGGTAAGCGTTTTCCGTGCTGTGAAGTTGAATGACAGCTAGCATTAAAACAGTTCTAAATGTACATAATAGTACCTAGAATCCTTGAGCTCGGGAAGAATTAGGTTCAAAATTTAAATCAGTTCATTAAAACAAAGTTGTTAACTTACCTGATTGATCTTCGTCTTTTCGGACGATTAAAAAGAGTATTGATTCAGGAATTTTCAATTTTGGTAAGTATATTTCTATTGTGATCATACATTTTCTGAGATTCAGACATCGAAAATAGTTTAATAATAATAATAAAAAGACCAGTAAGCTCAGGGCTGTCACTCCCTATGAAAACAATCTTAACAGATGAGTTTAGAAACATTAAAAATACTTATGCCAAATTTTTAACGTGGTATTTATAATTGGCCGACTTCAAAGTTTGATACACGATTAAATAATTACTCCACCTGATGGGAAGGTTGAAGAGATACCGAGTTTTAAATATAATACGGTTGGGTCAGCTGTTACTAACCAAAGTTTTAAATGGAGCTCTGAATCATTCTTATGTGATAAAAATAGCCTAAATTATAATAATTTTGAAGTAGGAGGGTAGTTTGGTTTGAATTTCGCGCAAAGCTACTCGAGGATTATTTGGGCTAGCCGTCTCTAATTTAGCAGTGATAAGTCTAGAGGGAAGGCAGCTAGTCAACAACACCCACACTCAATCCTTGGGCTGCTGATTTACCAAAAAATATGGGGATTGATCGTAATTTTACAACGCCCCCATGGCTAAAAGGGCGAGCATGTTCGGTGATTCGAACCCGCGACCCGCAGATTGCGAATCTAGTACCCTAACTACCAAGCCATCTCAAGCCTATGGGAGGGTAGATGAGCTGCACGATATTTCACTGTCTACTAAGTTACGAAGTGAAGAAGAATGATAATCAATATGTGTGTACGAAAAATACCGAGGAAAACGTGAGGTACATCAGTATACGTACTAAAAATACCGAGGAAAACGTGAGGTACAACAGTATACGTACTAAAAATACCGAGGAAAACGTGAGGTACAACAGTATACGTACTAAAAATACCGAGGAAAACGTGAGGTACATTAGTATACGTACTAAAAATACCGAGGAAAACGTGAGGTACAACAGTATACGTACTAAAAATACCGAGGAAAACAAGAGGTCCATCAGTATACGTACTAAAAACATCAAAGGAAACATGAGGTCCATCAGTATATGTACTAAAAATACCTAAGGAAATATAAGGTTCACTAATGAAAGTACCTAAAATAGCATGGAAAACATGAGGTTCATCAGTATACGTACTAAAAATAGCGTGGGAAACATGAGGTTGGTCAGTATATGACCTAAAATTACTCAGGAAAACAAGGTCCTTAACAGTAAGAAAGAAAGAATACTAATCATGAGCTACATTTTATGATTAAAAATTTAAATCAAATAAAATATATTAAATTATTAGTGGTCAATCACAGGATAACCAAATTCAGCGATTCATTTTATTCTGAGCTGGATATTAATTAAAATCAATGATTCGTTTGTTTTAGGGCAAAGCCACATTGGGATATCAGCTGTGTCAACCGCATGGAATGGTATCCTGGTTTTTGGTGTTGTACGTCCCGTAGACTTAACTCTGTCCCATCGGGGGACAATTGAAAAACGAAGTAAGTTGTATTAAAAAAAACAAAAAACAAGCGGCTATTTTAAGGCAATGAGTAGTACTGTCTTCGATAAAATTATGAAACACACAAACTTACCGCTGAATCACTGGGAGTAATAAATATAAGAGTATAATACAATGTGATAGAAAATTTAGCAGTGAAACACCATATGCCAGATTTTGATTTTAAAATATTATGTTAATTACATCGCAATTTCTTAATCTCCTGGACGTCATGTTTTTACTACAAATCCTTATAAAAAGCATTAATATTATCCGTGTGACTATTTTATTTGTCGATAAAAAACTGGCTATATTGGGATCAATCTATTTGAGTATTTTTTACATTTAAACAATTTTTGAGAGTAATTTTGTTATAGAGTAAAAATAACATTTTTTGTCTATCATGAAAAATAAATTACTTTAGCTTACCGAAACAAATTGATTTTCACAATATTCAACGAAGGTATGACTATCAAAAGCTGTAGAAGTTATCTAACAGCTAATCATACAACTAGTAAGCTTAATTCTTGAGGGAAAAGTGTGAGAAAAAGAATGATCACTAAGTTAGGAACGATGTTCGCAATTAAATAAAGCTATCGCCATTCATAACATGCTTAAGGTCTAAGGCGACAAACAACAGTACAATTTTAATACCCAACTTTAATATGCAACTCCACATGGGAGGCCAGTTCATCATAGGTTAACCCTTACTTACTCGTTGGTACCTATTATACAACTGGGCTGAAACAATTTGTGTAAAGTGTCCCTAAAGGACACAGCAACATGTCGCGAGCAAGCCTACCGACTGTAAATCTAAAGTTCTAGTCACTTGGTGACGCTACCCCCAGTTTAAAACGTGGATATCTAAAGTTAGGCTTAATATTGAAGTCAAGTTTTACGAACCAAACATAGAGGAGTGATTCTCTACACTTACACATGGGTATGTTCAAAATAACACTTGAACACATCCACACTGATGTGTATACGTTTCTATAGATATAGGACCTGATATAACACCTTAAGGTTTGTTACTCTCACAAAAACTTGTAATTTCGCTAATAGTGGTTAGTTACTTTATTACAAAAATGTGTGCCCTCTGCCGGTCAGTCACGAAAATGAAATTCGTTGGAACACGCGAAATAGTAGTGAGATATTATCAATTAAAATTACCAACAGTATGTTCTTTAGATGCACCGTAAGAATGAACTAAAAGAAGAAACGAGATATTATACAATTAAAATACTGTCTTTAAATGAGCCCAATATCTCATCGTACTGGTAGTAAAATATCATCAATTAGATAGGCCTTTTTTTTTTTTTGAATAACTTATAAACGAGATCACTAGAGACGTAAAGTTCATAGATTAATAATTAACCTTAAAAAGAACAACGAAATATGAAAACATGTTAATAAAAAATTGTATGTTTAGTATATTTACAAGCTACCTGTGTTAACAATACTCTTGTGTGGCAAATTATCACAACCATTACAAACAGACAAATTGATAGTATAATTAAACGGTTTGGTTTTAACTGTAGAAAAATAAAATAGTAGTTCTTCCGTTATAAATAGGTTTGTGTTATTAATATTAACTCCCGAGCAGAGCAAGCAACCTACTTAGATCGAAACTGAAAACCTAATATTTGTAATTATTATAACTAATTGAATATACTTTTTTTTATGTTATTATGTTAGTTTCCTCATGAACTGAAGTCGAAGTAAGCAGTTCTACCATTGTAAATATGTTTCTGTTATACTAGTTTCCTCATAAAGTGAAATAGTAGTAAACAGTTATATCACTGTAAATAGGTTTCTGTTATATTAGTTTCCTCATGAAGTGAAGTAGTAGTAAACAGTTCTATCACTGTAAACAGGTTTCTGTTATATTAGTTTCCTCATAAAGTGAAGTCGTGGTAAACAGTTCCACCACTGTAAATAGGTTTCTGTTATACTAGTTTCCTCATGAAGTGAAGTAGTAAACAGTTCTACCACTGTAAATAGGTTTCTGCTATATCAGTTTCCTCATGAAGTGAAGTAGTAATCAGTTCTACCATTGTAAATAGGTTTCTGTTATACTAGTTTCCTCATAAAGTGAAATCGTAGTAAACAGTTATATCATTGTAAATAGGTTTCTGTTATATTAGTTTCCTCATAAAGTGAAGTAGTAGTAAACAGTTCTATCACTGTAAACAGGTTTCTGTTATATTAGTTTCCTCATAAAGTGAAGTAGTAGTAAACAGTTATATCACTGTAAATAAGTTTCTGTTATATTAGTTTCCTCATAAAGTGAAGTAATGGTAAACAGTTCTACCACTGTAAACAGGTTTCTGTTATATTAGTTTCCTCATAAAGTGAAGTAGTAGTAAGCAGTTATTCCGTTATAAACAAGTTTCTGTTATATTAGTCTTCTTACGAGCCTCTGATATGTGTTCAGCCACATGGAACGAAATTAAATATTTGTTCATGTTAACATAATGAGCAATTAATATCGAATTTTATCCTTCTAATGCTGATCTTGAACTATGCCTCCAATTTACACAACAGTTTCGCAATACATTGGTTTAAAATATTTTAATATCAACATTTTCGCTAGATGTAAACGTCCATCCTTTTCTTCTTTTGCTATAGGATTGACAAACGATATTTATGTGACTGGCACTTTGCACCTGTATGTACTTGCTAAAGTCTCGTGCTTAAGATAAAAAAAAAAAAGAATTCCCTAATGTGTTAGCTTTATCACGTTTACAAAGTATCAAGTTTATCTGGTGCATGGTACGCATAAAATCGTTTATGTACTAGTGATCCAGTTTAGCTTAATGTGTTGTTCAGGCACGTCAAACCTATGCACACGACTACAACGTGGTCAACATAATTATTACATCTACAGAGCGCCCTCTATATAACATATAGATGGTGACTAGAGAAAATGTTTAAACAAAATTCGGAAAAACGTGTTTTATGATACAATAACTGCTTACACAGACTCTGGGCGTTAATATGGCATCAGATACACTGAAGATGAAAAGTCGTACTATTTTTAGTTCTCGTTATTAGGCGTTTTATTAGAAACAGTGCATTGCAAAAGTTTCCATATTTTGTTGCCGTATGAGCTTGCAATCATGAAACTTTCAAATGGGACTTTATATTTAGAATCTATACAATCTACTCCAAACTGAAAAAGCTAAAAAATACTGATATTATGTAAGTAATTTAGATTTTCAAAGAAAATTAGAATATTCTCAATTGCATAAGTATTCAACCCCTTTGCTACGGCAACCCTAAATCAGTTCAGTCAGGTGCAAAGGATTATTTTGAAAGGTCACAAAATTAGTGTAATATCAAAGTGGTTTGACTTGACTTCAGAGTTAATGCATCTGTTCAAGCCATAACTTACATAGCATAGTGATACGACAAACCAGCCATGAAGACCAAGGATCTTTCCAAACAAGTCAGGGATAAAGTAATAGAGAAGCACAGATCAGGAAAAGATTACAACAACATTTCAAGTCGCAGATTATCCCTTTGAGTACGGTGAAGTCTATCATTAAGAAGTGGAATTTGATTCATGCCGCCAAGATCAGGTCGCCCTTCCAAACAAAGCAGCCGGGAAACAAGAAACTGGTCAGGATGCCACTGTGTGGCCAGACGAGACAAAATTTAGATTTTGGTCTAAATTCAAAGCGTCTGGCGCAAGCCAACACAGCACATCACCCAATTAACATCATCCTAACTGTCAAGCATGGTGGTGGCAGCATTGTTATGGGGATGCTTCTCATCAGCAGGGACTGGGAAGCTTGCCAGGATTGAGGAGAAAATGGATGGTACAAAGTACAGATGAATCCTAGAGGAAAACCTTCTTGAATCAGCCAAGATCTAAAACTGGGTCGAAAATTCACTTTCAGCAGGGCAATGATCTGAAGCACAAGGCTAAAGCCACACTGGAGTGGTTTCAATAGATGAAAACGAATGTCCTGGAGCGGCCCAATTAAAGTCCTGACTTAAATCCAATGGAAAATATATGACAAGAATTGAAAATTGAAGTCCATCAATGGTCCCCAAACGAACTTTTCAGAATTGGAGCAATTTTGCCAGGAAGAATGGGCAAAAAGTACACCACCCAATTGTGCAAAGCTGGTAGAGACCTATCCAAAAAAGACTCAGAGCAGTAACTGCTGCCAAAGGTGTTTCCACCAAGTACTGACTTAGGAGGCTGAATACTTATGTAATCAGCAAATTTCAATTTATATATTTTCTTTGCAGGTTTTGCTGATATTCAACCTCCTTCACACATAACAGTGTTAAGTTTGATCATTAAAAATTGTGTTTACATTACTTACATTTCTTCAAAATGTGACATTACTGGCAGGGGATGAATACTTTTGCAAGTCACTGTATGTAATATTGCTTATGTGTCACAACAGACTTGAAACTGTTTGAAGATTTCACTTTCGGTTTGTCGAACTAATTCACGCCAATTCGAGCTTTGTAATGTGTTTGAAATCCTGCGAACATTTACAAGTGAAACATTTTATTTTCTGACGACAAGGAACCCACTTAAAGTAAATATTTAGTAGAGACAGTTGCTATTGATATTAAATTTTGTTTTTATTCAAAATACGAAACAAGTCAAAGTTTCGACCTTCTTACGAAAAAGTCATTCTTAACCTGAAGATGACCTAAGGACGTAAAATCGTTGTTTTTAGTTTTAAATATGTTTTTAATACCCATATCAACTGTCTTTATTAAATATTTTATTTTCTCTCATAAAATGTAAGGCTGACGAAGCCCCAGAGTTCCTTAAAAAAGTACTGTAATGCTGGAGAACTAGGCATAACCATAATTACAAAAAAATAACATGTTGACACCTCCATTAATTGGGAGGAGTTGCCAGAAGAACACTAAGCTTGTCATATAAACACACCTACGTATATTTCACGGAACTTTGTTTTGTACTTGTTATATTTATCCAGCCATACGTAAATATGTTTATAACCTGATAAAGGCACAAATGATAACTTTTTTTTTTTATATGAGGCAAGGAAAATAATTTTCTCGGGGGCAAGCTTTTAACCATTATCTGTCTAAATAATGATAGAAAATTAACTGTTTGTACACATACGTTTTTTGCATTGAGGAATATGGTGAACTAAAAGATAAATCTGTAAACAGTAAAAATAATCTTAAACCATAGTGATCAGTACGTGTCTAAGAAAAATATTTGGATATAGAACGAACTAACATCTGTTCTCAATTTTCAAGACAGCCATCCTAAGCCACCTGATTTAAACTGCGTGGATAAACCATTAGGATGGGCAAAGAAGGAAGTGAGAAATATCAGAAATTTATCAAAGACAACATACACATATATCTCGTTATAGTAATCTAGTTACGATAATGTTCTATTCAGTTCACATTTTACTCCGTGTTGAGGCCCATTTATTCGGCGTGTAATTTTTCTTCATCACATCTTACTCTTCAAGACTTACTGACAATGGTACTTGATGCCTCCACTCAGACAGGTTTTGCAGTTTTCTATCTCCAACTCATCTCTCGGTCTTACCCTTCAAACTGCCGCAGTGTTGGAGAACCAAAGATGAAGAGCTTAACGTTTGGCACAACACATGTTACAAAATGGGAGAGAAAACTGTGACGCACCTTATACGTCGGGAAATAGCAAGTACTAGTCATAACGAACCAAGTAACTGGACGCCCTCTGGTGGACTAGTTCATCAGCAGACAGTGCTCTATGAAAGTAAAACAATATCAATGAAAAATTATTTTGAGTTAAATTGAATAGTTTGAACATACAACCAGAAGACCAGTTAGGATTATATAAGACGTCTTAATAAATTCAAAAGTCACCAAAACAGGAATATGATAGACTTGCGATAACCATTTATCTCTCGTTTCAAAGCGATTACTAACAAGAATAAGATTTTGCTGAGTTGAATTCAAATATTTGGTGAAGATTCCTAAAGTCAAACGTGTTTGTTGATAAAATTACTTTTTAAAGGGGCCTGACAGCAAAAATGAAGTAAGTTGTTTTTTAACATCTCATGAGGGACACACACAAAGGTTGTAGAACACTTGATCGTTAGCATTGAGGTTGATACGCATTTCGATGGTGCGCTCTTCATATTATCGAAATGAAACATTGTTTCGTTTTTTTTACATCATGCGATTCGATTTTATCATTGTTTTTTTTATCTTTTCCGGTAAACCGAAACCACCATTTGGGACAAAATATTTGGAAGAGCGCGCACACTAAAGTACAAATAACATTTGTAAGATGAAAACTTCATTGAAAATGAAATTCACCATACTATATAAAAATGTACAAGGTGTCCGAAAAGTCTGGAACCATAGACGATTTGCAGTATTTCTTAATTTCAGATACGTGATTCATAATGGCATGAGAAGGTTGAGTTAATACTGCTATTAATCCAAACTTATTTCAAATTACAAGGACGGCACGTGGAACACATTTTGTAAAATTCGTTGAAGTGCCAAAAGTTCTAGACTTTTCTGGCACCTCTGTAGGTATATACATACCTAATAACGGTTCGCATGTGCAAATAACCAGGCACAATAAATGGATGTGGTCACGTGACTACCACATTTTCACTAGTTGCCGCAAGTTTCTCTCTAATAATCTAGCTTTTGCACCTCCCAGGCTCAAACCCAGTGCTTCTTGCACACCAAGTGTGTGCTCTACGATCCAAGTGTTTGTTTGTTTGCTTTTGAATTTCGCTCAAAGCTACACGAGGGCTATCTGCGCTAGCCATCCCTAATTTAGCAGTGTAAGACTAGAGGGAAGGCAGCTAGTTATCACCTCCCACCGCCAACTCTTGGGCTAGTCTTTTACCAACGAATAGTGGGATTGACCGTACCATTATAACGCCCCCACGGCTGAAAGGGCGAGCATGTTTGATGTGACGGGGATTCTAACCCGCGACCCTCAGATTTCGAGACGAGCGCCCTAACCACCTGGCTATACACGATCCAAGTGAATGAAGGTGTTAATTAGATAAACGAGAAAACAATTTCGGTTTTATGTACTTAGGTACTTAAAATAATGTTTAATAGACAGTAGAAGACACGAGGGAGCCCCCTTGCGAACATAGTACGAACTATATTTGGATATTAAAAACCTTTATCAAAATAACATGAAATAATGTTACTTTAATCATAGTATTTAATAATAAGGTGTTTTCTGTTACAGTAAAACTTTCAATCAACTTTATAATGAAAACAACAAATTAAAAAAAATACAGAAAATAATCATTATGGAGCAGATTTAATTGTTTACTATTTGATCTACATTCAAATTTAAATTTTAAATATACAATGCTGCCATATGAAGTGAAGGTGAGCAACAATTATGGAGTTAGCGGTTCTAATGCTCTCATCTGAATTAACGAGTATCTGCCACATCACTGAAAGTTAATTTTGTATATTATATATGGTCAAATGACGTAAGTTCGTTTCCTGTAGTTCTTTGTAACAGTTTTTATCCATTTACTTTATACAACATTCACATTTAGTAAAATTCGCTATATATGCACTTATTGGCCATGAAGGCTATTAGTTTGTTTTCGAAATATAAACAAAAAAGTATAATACAATTTCTTCGGCTCCGAACCATTGCATATTAGAGAAGAAAAGTCTTAACATATTGCACTTGATATTTTATTAATACTTTCAAGAACTAGACTAAGTAAAAAAAAAAAACATTTTGTATTAATGTCCACTCTTAAGTAAAAGTTCAAACACGGGATGCTTAAGAATTCTGGGATTTATCTTCGTATAATTAGTTTGTGTGTGTGTGTGTGTGTGTGTGTGTGTGCTAGAAAATGCAACAACAGATTACCGTGTTGCACTCAGAGATTGTTAGTATTTATATTTTACAACGTCATATTTAATTTCTGGATTAATTTCCTGCTTCCTGACCTAAGATTTAGCTTTGGGTGAGATCCGGGTAACTTCTTCGTGAATAGTATCCATTTCTTCCGTCAGAGAGCATTCATCGTGCATACTAGAGGCGTCTTTTGCCGCTTCTTTGGCTGTAGCTGACTCTGTAGTTTTCAGGGCATCACTTTCTTCTTTTAATATATTCACCCAGTATTCGTAATTTTCTTCTAAATGAACTGTTTGGAGACAACGCACTTTCCTAGGCTTCAGTCGAAGCTCGCGGTTCCGCTTTCTGGAAGTACCTAGACAGTTAAAAAAATACCTATAAAATGTTTACACAGTCTGCTACGTTCCATAATAATATCATTTATTTTATCTTCATTTTTAATATATGCAACAAAAGAGCAAAGAAATTATATTATCTGGTATTACTATAATTTATTGCGTGTATACTTTTTTTAAAAGTTATTTCCATTCGACGGCTGTATTAGATTTAGCATTCAGCGCTAGCATTTAAGTATAAAATGTCTTAGGTCAGATATTTACCATTAGTAACGCCACCATCACTGTCGATTACTTCTTCTTCCGTATCTTTAAAATCAGAGCTTTCTACCTGGTCCGTGTCCTCAGAAACAGCTGTTGAAACGAAAACAGAAATACGTTGAACCTTACGTCTGATATGTTAACAATTAGGCATTAATAAATGAACATAAGCAATGGCATTAAAATCATAGGAACTAATGGCCCAGATTTAAAAGTTTATAGTTGAATCATTCACAAACAAAACATTTTAAAGGTTATGCGTGATTTTAAATAATTATTAACACGTTCAAATTACGTATAATTTATTTTTATTATTTGTAAGAGAAATTCCGAATTCAACCATCTTTTAACGTTCAACATAATAGCCAAACAATATCGTATTGGGCATTTCCTTTCCTTTTTGTAAGTTTTTAGGACAATTTATTTTTCAGAAACAAATTCGACAAATACTAGACGGACTTGAGATTTTAAGTTATTTAATTTCAAGCATAATTGTTTTTTTTTGTTTTTTGTGTCTACGAAGGGTCTATTCCTTAATGAATTGGCATCCAGCAGCTTAAAGTGGATTTTTGGATACCATATTTTCTGATTATGTGATGCCAAATGAAAATCATATGCGTAATAAATGACATTTTCCCAGGAAACAGTATTTGGATAAACTGTGATATACCTTCTGATATAAATAATGTCTTCCGAGTTAAAAAAATAAAAAACTGAAGCTTAACGTTGAGCGAAATGACGAAAAAATAACACAAGAATAAATTAGAATTAAAGAGTTTATTTTCTAAATAAGGCAGAATGGACATAATGTATAAAAATAACTTCCAATTCCATTCAGTAATACTGACCAGAAAAAATATCTTAATTTTCAATATACTCTTCAGAAACATACCTAATAAATGTATTGACGATCAGAAATGACGATATACTATATTTTTAAGGTAATTTTAACCCTCGAATTCGTGACTTAACCAGGCTTAAATCACCAAAATATGGTAATAAATTTTCTCGTCGTCAGAGACTCTTCAGTACTAATGTTTCACTTTTAACTATTGTAACGTTTAAAACGCCAACTACTGAACAATCAGTTTCGAAGTTGTATTAAAATCACTTTTTTTGTTTATGGTTTTAGTTTTTAGGCCTAATAGGCCTAAAAACTAAAACCATAAACAAAAAAAGTGATTTTAATACAACTTCGAAACTGATTGTTCAGTAGTTGGCTTATTTTGACGAGATTCGATTACAAATTTCGCCATAAAATTAAAGCAAACAATAACCAGATGTATTTGAATAAGTGCAGTAACAAACAAAGTACACAATGTGACATTCTCAAAATGTTTTAGTAAAGGGAACAGTAGATGAACTTCGTTAACATCTGAACCATCATACAAGAAAGTCTAAGCAACAGTAGCAAATGCCACTTTTATTTCACTGCTAGATTTATTCACACTCGTTTCTGAAAACGCTCTTTGCTCTCTCTTTCTTGGTTTCATTTTCCCATCGGGATCATGTACACATCGATTTAGGCTATGACAATTGAATTTTTTTTTCAATTTACAGTTGTAAGTAACAGAAGGTCTAGAAAAGTCTTCTGGTATTTCCTTGCTATTATACATCCGTTTTATTAGTTTTAAAATCGGATATATCACACATACAAAAGCTATAAACGTTTGGGCAGAAAATGGAACCTACTGGCCAAAGGAAGATAATAGAATTTCGAAAACTTTCCAGTGGGGGAACATGTTTTTTACTGACATTTCATGTTCACACAATGGAAGCTATCGTTCTAGCACATTTTTAGTATATTCGAAAATAGTCCGGATGTTACACAGTCCAGATTTATTACCAATCTCAGCTTGTTTAAGCTGTTCAAAATGAAAAAATATAATTCTTTATTCACTCTGAAAGAAATTAACGTTTTACCAAAATGTTTTTGTTTCTTCAATAAGATTCTAAGTACCTTCTTCTTCGCTATCGGAGCTATCCACCCACTGACCAGGAAGTAGTCCCGCTTCACCATAAGCGTTACACAGAGGAGCCACTAAATGGTTAATAAACGACTCTTGCAGTTTCGCAAGTTGTTGGTTCCGCCTATCCATAAAAGGTGAGATAGTAAGGCCTAAAGAGGCCTCCTCGTCTCCCTGCAACAGGAAAGAAATTCATGAACGTTTTAAATCCAAAATAAGTAAGTTGTTATGAAAATATACTTAATGCAAAAAGTGAGGTTAATACAACAAGTTAACATACTACTATAAACACTGTGAAATTATTAGAAAATAATGATTTAATATTTTGCAAGATTACATGGTTGTACTGCAGTTACTATCATAAGATAATGTGGCAGATATCGGTTTATTTAACATCACGGTTGTACTGCAGTTACTATCATAAGACAATGTGGCAGATATCGGTTTATATAACATTACGGTTGTACTGCAGTTACTATCATAAGACAATGTGGCAAATATCGGTTTATCTAACATTATGGTTGTACTGCAGTTACTATCATAATACAATGTGGCAAATATCGGTTTATCTAACATTACGGTTGTACTGCAGTTACTATCATAATACAATGTGGCAAATATCGGTTTATCTAACATAATGGTTGTACTGCAGTTACTATCATAAGACAATGTGGCAAATATCGGTTCATCTAACGTTACAGTTGTACTCTAGTATAATGCTTATTGTTCTCCTAAGATTGGAACTGGAAATCAAGCCTAAACGGCACCTTATGCGTACGTGGGCTAAATATGCCATATCAGGGATTCCGATGATTCAGGCATAGCTGTTCCTAATTTGTAACTGCTGACAACAGCAGTACTTGTCAACACATGGGATTTGTCCAGTTCTTTGAATCGACGAATGTGATTAACATTTTTATAACGTGTTGCAGGGTGCGTTTAGTGACTTCACGTCTCGAATCTTGAACCCTTCGATTTGCAGCCAGACACGTTAACCACTAGGCCACGCCCAGCATGTTTATCTTAGAACAGTGTGATCAGGAGTGATTGCTGTTGCGTATTCTGGGCTATGAAAGTTAATTCACAATTATTATTACGTCAAAACAAGCCAGTAAGAACATTCAATTATCAGTCTATAAAACTCATTTCATGTAACAAATTTTAAACCCGTTTTCCTCAACGTTGAAGATAACCAAAATAAAACATTGCATGTTATGACCGCGCTTCCTACTCTTTATTATTGAAAAGCCTTAGCGTAATAGTGTTTTTTTTGTTGTTGTTGTTTTTGCAAATAGAATCAAAAGGAAATTACTGCAAGATTCATGCACCCTTTTCAAAATTAACCAAAAATTTCATACGAACTTCACGGAATTACAAGCGAATGATTACAGACGGGAAAGCAGCTCGTGAAAGGTAAAAGGCAGGAAGTTTCCCATCAACATCCAGGTTTTAACAACTTCCGTGAAAAACAGACTAGCGATTAGAATGACACTGATTGATTTCTACGCCAGTTTTAGTTATCACGTGAATTTGTTACAGCAACGGAGTAGACTCAATGGCGGGATAACCATATAGCTAATGTAGTTGTAAAAGTCTCACATTTTGTATTTAGATGGATTTGTAAAGCAAACATTTATGTTTAATGCTATCTAATGGTTGTTGGTTTATTCAGCGTAAAGCTATAAAATGGACTATTTGCACGCTGTCCACCACGGGGAATCAAACCCGGAATTTTAGCGTTGTAACTCTAAGACTTATCGCCGATCCACCAAGCTACCTATTGGGGAAAAATACTCTGATATATGAAAGTTTCAGTTGTAGAACTAACAATAGAAAAGCTAGCCGGAAAACAAAAATAAACTAACAATAGGATAGCTAGCCGGAAAACAAAATAAACTAACAATAGGATAGCTAGCCGGAAAACAAAATAAACTAACAATAGGATAGCTAGCCGGAAAACAAAAATAAACTAACAATAGGATAGCTAGCCGGAAAACAAAAATAAACTAACGATAGAATAGCTAGCCGGAAAACAAAAATAAACTAACAATAGGATAGCTAGCCGGAAAACAAAAATAAACTAACAATAGAATAGCTAGCCGGAACATTCGTTGTTGTTTTTTAAATCTTCATCACATGCAATCAATCACGTGTTTCGAAATTATTATTCGTTCTACCTAGTTGGAATTGAATTTCATAAAGTTTATAAAGCTCGTGAATAATGATCATAAAACAATTTACACATTTTGAAGAAATAGTTTAGCGATTAGTTGTGAACTTTTGTGGTGAATATGTTTATTTAAAAAAAGTTTCGCACAAAGTTACACAAACGTTATCTGCGCACAACCGTTTCTAATTTTTCAACCGACAAACTAGTCAATAGAACCTTCCACCAACTCTTGAGCTATAGAACGAATAGTGAGATTTGACTGTCACTTTTAGCGTATCCACGGCCATAAAGTTCGGAGCGGGTTTTTGAGACAACGAGATGCAAAACATGAACTCGTGGATTCACATTCCGAACCAGCTAACTATCAGGTCATACCCGACCGACAGAATGGGGACATGGAGATAAGAAAAAGATGGTACGTTAGATGAAATCGTTTTGCTAATCTTTCGAAGTTTTGCTTCGCATTGTGATATGCGAGCATTATTATGCGTTTTCTACTCTCTTAACTGCTTGATAATTCTTCAGATTTTCAGTATAATTTAGGGATTATTCTTAAAATAAAACAGTCACGAGAATCGCTCAGTTTCTCTCATCTTGGTTATTACTCTGGAAGATATGAACTATGCTATTAATAGAAAAAGGAGTCTGTTCTAACGTCGAATCATGTGATGGCCTGGGGGGATATCTATCCCTAGTTGACATGAAAATTGCCCTTAGTTACGTGGATAACGTAATTGCCTGGGGATAGAGAACTTTGTACATAACGTATTGTTTTCCTTTGTTTAGAAAGCATTTTAGACACACAGATTTACTCAGATCTACTGAGATTTGGCCAAACTAGATATGCTTTTTGTCAAACATATAAATATGTGTGTAGCAAAGTTTTAACTTCAGCCTAATATAGATAGCCAAACGCTAGTGAAAGAGCACAAATAAAGCTCTCCCCTTCTCCCCCCTCTAGTAACACACATACAAGCACTTGTTTAAGTGTTGAACTAAACTTTATTTTTGCCATAATAAAGATTTTGATTGTTTACATCCTATATCTACTCTCTTTATTTTGTGCAAATCCAGGTACTTCTCTGTATACTACTCTAAGAAAAATCAGGACAAATTGAAGACCAATTGCGTAGTTTTGTGCTTAACAACAAACAAACAAAGTTGTACCAATTATTTCACTAATTAATGTGCTTTATCGGGACACTGCCACATATCTAAACGGCTGCTACAATAATTTTTTTTATGAACCTCAACAGAGATTGAGGCAATAATTCTAAACCTATTTGAAAATATTCTGGGAAGTGAAGTGACATTAATGAAATTCATCAACGAGCATTGTGTTAATTTTAACTTCGTTCAACCTTCTTCGTTTAGGGGTGTTCCTTGTCGGATTATATTAGTTTTCTAAATAGTCAATAATACCCGTTAAGGACCAGACTGGTTGCGAGAGGCTTTACAGACATTAATTAGAACTGTCAAGAAAAATAATTACTCATGATGATCCCTGTTTATTTATCTATTTAAGTAAATACTGAAAACCTTTTAAGGTTATGTGTCAAATAAATCGCACTAACAATAATTGTATTAAGTGTCTAGAACCATTGGATAATAGTTAAGCACTGGAAAGAACACATATACAGCTTAATGGATAAGTTAATAGCTAAATTAACTGGGAGAGATCGCAATAAAAATTTATTTCCCCCCCAAAAAAAAGTCTTTCTTTGTAAATTATTCATTTTTCTATTACAAGTTCCACAATTCAACAACACGTCTTTATATATTTTAACAGCACCACAAAAAGTGTATCACTTCCATTAAGATATCTTATCACATAAGAAAGACTAACTGTTCAGTTTACACCATTAAAATGAAAAGTTATTGCTAATTTAGGATTACTGCAGAAAAAAAGGCTTATTATTCAGTCCAAACCGCCACAATGAAAAGTTTATGAAATCCACTAAGATAGAACTAGTACATAAGGATTTATTGTTCAGTCCAAACTGATACCATGAAAAAATTATGAATTTCAATATAATAGAACTAGCACATAAGGATTTATTGTTCAGTCCAAACTGATACCATTAAAAAATTATGAATTTCAATATAATAGAACTAGCACATAAGGATTTATTGTTCAGTCCAAACTGATACCATAAATTATGAATTTCAATATAATAGAACTAGCACATAAGAAGGATTTATTGTTCAGTCCAAACTGATACCATGAAAAAAATTTTGAATTCCAATATAATAGAACTAGCACATAAGAAGGATTTATTGTTCAGCCGTAACCGATATCTAATTCCCGTCAAGATAATAATAATATAACAAAAGATTTGCACTTCAAACTAGACTGGTTTACAAAACGTTTATATGGAAGACTCACGAACGAGCTAAGACAAGTTTACAATACTTACCATAACAGAATTACTATTCACATGGAAAAATGTGTGCGCTTCAAGATCGGATCACAATACTGCCATTTTGTTATTTGGAACACCAAACCTCGATGAGCCAAGTACGTGCAACATTAACCGGTGTTCTGCAGCCAGCTCAACAGCGAGTTTTATTGGATATTATAGATAGACAGATGTAGGATTTCCATCTCTAGATTCCAGTATTATTTTATTTCTTAACTACAATAAATTGAGCATACTATTTCATGTACCAATACATGATTGGTAGGCCAAACATATTATCCAATAAACAATCACTGTGCTTACATACGCATATGGGTTTGTTAAAGTTAAAATACACAATAATTTAGTGTCCAATTGAGCATACTATTTCATGTACCAATACATGATTGGTAGGCCAAACATATTATCCAATAAACAATCACTGTGCTTACATACGCATATGGGTTTGTTAAAGTTAAAATACACAATAATTTAGTGTCCAATACAATTTTTCTCCCTTTAGAAATTAAGGGCGGTAACTTTGCACGAATTTCTTAAAGGAAACGAAAAACATAAAACTACTGTATGATAATTTAATAATATTTGTTGTATAAAGAGTATTTTCTAGCCATACTTTTTAAAAACCAACCTGTTCATAGAACTCTTCTGCTATTCGATAAGTCCACTGTACATGAATATCATGTCGCTTACACGGACCGTTAATGTCTGCTAGTTTTATACACATCTCCATCGTTAGTAGTCGATCTGTTTCAGACAGCCAATCAAGTCCCGGAGCGTGATCGTCGTTCACCTTCAAAAGGAAAGAAAAAAGTATGAGATCGGCAGGAGCTACAAACAACCAATCCGGTTCTTAAAGCTAATTATATTTAAGACATTAATCTTAGTCACAAAAGGTTCACTATTTTAGTACAATACTTCCGTGAAACACGCACCTATCAAACTTTGTACCACAAATCTAGCTTTGTAAGACACGTAAAACCGGCATGAGTTTTAACGTGCAAGGAGTATACTTGACAAAATTCTGAGAATCTATCTGTAAAAAGGAACAACAACGAAAAAAACAAAACTAACTAACATTAAGAGTATAAAACAAAAGCTATGTTTTATTAGCATACTCAAAGATAATGTTGGAATAAATATTCTATTTTTTCACTCTGCCAAAAAACAACAAAAAAACAAACAAACCTCGTTTTTTGTTTTCTACTCTTAATATAGTAGGACAATGTACCCGAAAAGAAATAAAAAATATAAAACTAACTTTATTGTTATTAGAAGACTTGTTTGTTATACTTTAGGCTAACAGATATAACCTAAGTATTTATAGAGATAAAAAATATCATTTTATTCAAGTTCAAGATACGATTTATGTTAATTGGAATTAAATATCATACATATTATTAAGCTAGAATAAATATTTTTCTGAGCTTCTTGTTGTTACATGGCTTTGCAATATGAATACTACATTGATATCTATTTTTTTTGTAGGCCTAGCTAAATCGGTGAGGCAAATATGTAGAGCATACTGGAGAGATAATGCACATTTTGATAATAAATTTCGAAACAAAAAAAAAAAAACGACCTTTACATTCCAGATAATTATAAGAGAACGTTTCGCCTTTGTGGCTTCTTCAAACGTACTAGCCCTTAAGAAGCTATAGAGGCGAAACGTCGGTTAAAATAAAAGTTCTCTTACAATTATCTGGTGTGTAAATGCCGTTTCTTTTTAACTTTAACACCAGCTGTCACTAAGAAAGGATTTACTAAAAAATGTCTTTGATTACGTTTTGTACCATTAAACCTTTCTCTACAATGCTATAACTCAAAGAATTTTATAGAATAGTTTCAAGACAAAGAAAATTCATTACGCAAGAAAATCGTACAGAGTGGCAGCTTTTATACTGAAAACGTAGAGTCAAATAAAAAAACGTAGAGTCAAATACAAATGTCGGCACCACGTATTTCTGTAAAGTATCTCATTGTTCAAAGTAACTCAAAAACTAGATACTTCTATGTAAATACAAACCCAATACTATATAAAACAAAAATTATGGTTAGATAACGTCAGCATGTTTTAATTAAATAAATATCATGGGCAGGATTCTTTACAATAGGTATCTGTGATTTGTTGGCGATAAACTTCAACAATAAATGGACAGCACACCGTCCACGTGTAAAACAATATACTCAAAAGAAGTCAAACGTATATACAAATGTTCATTACACAGTTAATTACCACGGTTGTGTCCAGAGCTTTAAATAATCGTCTCTTTTCGTCAAGAGTCCACATAGGCTGGTTCAGTTACTTTATAACCCAATTGACAAGACAAATTATTCTCTCTGCCCTGTCATTACAATACAATCTGCGATTAGCACACTTTAAAAGTCGCCACTATACACACTTTATGGCTAAACTCACGATCACACAGTCTATATCTCTCTCTTCTTTTTTTCCTTAACTAAATTTCACTACATTGCCTGACTGAGGCCTAGAACGTTATACATTTTACGAGACATTTAAACCAACGAGAAAAATTCAGAAGGTTCGAGTAACATGACGTCAATTTACAACAACTGAACTATGCAACAAATGATTCTTCATAAACAGTTACCTAAGCAAACTTGCCATAACTATCACTTCTAAAAATAACTTACTTTGACGCTCGCACAATGTAAACTAGATAATACCCTGGTATTAAACTTAAAACGAACAGTTATGTATATCTAACATAAGACAACGTCAGTACGCTTTAATTAAGCAAATAACATCATTGTTAGATAACGTCAGTAATTCCATATGATTACGCTTTTAAGCAATAAACACTAAAATATAAACCTGCGTCTATTCATTTTAATTAACCAAATAGGCTGTCGAGTTTAGTATTATTTTCTTTTCACATTGAAGCTGAAAAGTCACAACCATGATTCCTTTGTTTTATTTTTGGGTTATATTTAAACTATGGCTCATAAGAGGGGCAAAAAGTACTATAAGTTATAACTTTTCTTATGACTGAAATGGATCGTTTCTTTCTCGGTTTTAGCGAAAAGCTACAGAATTGGCTATCTTGCATTCTGTCCACCGCGGAGAATCGAACCACGGATTTTAGTGGTGCCAGTTCCCAAATTTACAGCTGACCTAACAAGGAACAACCAAAATGGATCAAAGTTGTAAGTGAGGGGTCGCAACGATCTCTCTTAAAAACAGTTGATTATAAAACTGTGCATTTAATATGGCAACCGTGTTTGCTAATTAATTACAAGTTCGTTAAATTATTGTAAAGCATCACTATGTATATACAAGACCAGAGAGCTTTCAGCTAATGATAAAAACTTAATTTTTCATAAAGGTTCCACATTAGAAACATGGTTACAGTCCACATTGGAATATATAAGAAAGAAATATGGAAAATGATTTGAATTTCAAGTATGGGAGCAGCCATCTCCTGCACTTGAAATTAAGGGTCGGCTCCCCCCTCCCCCAAGGACTACACCCTGATTAAAACTTTAATTAAAAATGGTTATACAAGACAAATATTTTAAATATACCTTAGCATTGAATTCTGCTACAATCTCAAAATGTCTCTTCAAGTCAGTTGCTAAGATATTCTCAATGACAAGAAACCGGAATCTTTTAAACTCAGCCTTATCCAAATGACATAACCAATTATTCTCCGGTCGTGACAGGAACAAGTTCCATGCAGCAGCTGCGTGATGGTTCTCCAATACAGAACGATCATTGTAGAGCACCGCCTGATAGATAAAATAAGTAAATTTCTTTTTAATCATAAGCGATTACTTTTTCAAATAGAAATTGAATTACATACATGAATCTAATTAGAAGTTCACGAACCAAATATAACAGCAATGTTTGATAAGGTAACACTTAAGAGGTGTACAAGGAAAGAGTGCGACTCTATAACTAATAAAAACCCTTGCAAAAGAGGAGTTCTTAATCTATTAATGGTTGCAATGATTTATAAAATAAAAGGCTTGCCTTTTTCCATACGAGGCACAATATTGTTTTATCTAACAAAATCTGAACTTAACCACTATCAATTGGCTAATGATTTTTGATGCCTTTAATTTAACACTTCTTTTAATGATGTGCTTAAACTATTTTTAAACAACTCTTAGAAAAATAAGATTATACTTATTGAAAGACACAAGCAAAGCGTTATTATTCTTCGATACATTTAAATTTTCACAACCAAAGGGTGTTAAAATTTAAATGGTTTAATATTAACGAAAATATATTAATTTAGAAAATAACCACATGATAACAATGACCGTATATCATAACATGTCCATGTAGTACGATCAAAACAAGGTGTTAATACTGGACGAAAACTTAACGGTTTGAAACTTTCCACGTGCTTTAGAGTTTTAGTAATGTAATGGGATCCTATCTGATACATATTCGAACGTTAATTATACCTTCAAGTCCAGATCAAGCTCATTAAACAGTTATCAAATAAAATGAAAAAAACCAAACTGGATTTACTGGATGATATTTTTTTATCGCTATATCATAAAATCAAACACTGCTTTCTGGTTTTCGAAATATTAAAGAAACTTTCCACTAATACAACAGATCAAGTCCCCCGGTGGGACAGCGGTAAGAACGCTAAAATCCGGGGTTCGATCTCAAGAGGTAGACATAACAGATAGTTTAATATGACTTTGCTCTAAAACAAACAAACAAACAACGAATCAACCACGTTCAGAAAGATTTGGTTTACTTCTAAAAATTTTCTACCACCACTATACTGAGTTTAAACCTTTTTTCTGACGCCTAGTTTTGTACCGGATTGCAAAAAATAAACACTTGAGGAATATATTGCAATATATTTCAGGAACATTAGATTTTGTACCTAAAAATCCGTTAGATCTTGATATTATCTATATATGATCGTTTATTTTATAATAACATTTGAAAACTATGGCGGTATCATAACGTGTTTGACTTGCCAATATTTCTGTTGACTCAAAAATTCTTAGAATCAATGAAATTAAAAATTTTCAGTTGTAAATTATTCATAATAAAAGAAGAGGTGATCTAGAATATAAAACCGGAATTCTTAAGAAATTGAAAACAATGGATAGTTAGTTATATTTCAGTTTGGTTTGAATTTTGCGCAAAGCTACACGAGGGCTATCTGCGCTATCTGTCCCTAATTTAGCAGTGAAAGACTAAAGGGAAAGCAGCTAGTCATTACCACCCACCGCAAACTCTTGGACTACTCTTTTTATCAACGAATAGTGGGATTGACAGTCACATTATAACGCCCCCACGGCTGAAAGGGCGACCCGCAGATTACAAGTCGAGCGACCTAACTACCTGGCAATGCCGGGCCTCTGATTCAGAATGAGTGACATACGGGTATACAGCAGTATTGTGAAATTATTATCCGGTATCATTTACGTTTTTCAAAACGCCAATCTTTACTCTAAATATATATATTGATGTGCTCACTATTCAGTATGTATTTGAAAGTTTTTATTTCCATATTTATATATCTAAATTACAGTAAAAGCCCTTACCAACTGGCTAGTCACAAAACTGCCGTGATTTGTTCTAGACTTTTTTAAAAAATAAAACAAAATTTATTTTAACCAAAGTGCCATTGGAAATACGAATGGCCAATTTTTCAAATTATCGCTGAGATTTTGTTTGCGCAGACTCGCGACTTGCACAGGGTTAGCTAACAAAACTGTTTAGGCTGTGTTTCAGAGACAGGAGAGAGGCCCAAGTCCCCGACACAAGTTTCTAGAATTCATTAGATCAATGTGTACACATTGGAACACGCTTGGAATATTATGGCAGCGCGACACAGGCCCGACTGGAGTTTTGACACATTCTGAAATATTAAAGGGCGCAGCTTTCATTTTGTACAAATCCCACGTAGCTGTTGCACCCCACCCCCCTCAATATTTTTTCAAACACGAAATTAACACGGTTAGGATTGTTTGTTTGTTGTCAGTTTTTTAGCGCAAAGCTATAGGGGCCATTTGTGCTCTGTCCACCGCGGAGAATTGAACCCCGGATCTTAGCATTGTAAATCTGGAAATTTACTGCTGACCAGCCAGAGAACAATATGGTTAGAAAATAAACAACTTTTCTGTAATCACGGAATATCCGGGGGCTTCTGACCATGACCCCCCTTTTTATGGAAGCTCAGATACAAACCCCCACCAAGGTTTACACGTGTAGATCTTCACTGCACCAGGTTGTATTTATTCTGCCAACGCTCCTAATATCAGTTAACATAATTTCCTGACCACGTATAAGTGATGAACCAATAAAATAATTTTCAGGGCCAATTTGTATTTTATTGTTATATGCCTGTGTTTGTATCTTCACTTAAAATGTATTCTGTCGCCTTTAGTCATTGTTAATCACCGACGATATTCTTGTTATTATAATCTAGTGTTTTTTGTCTAAAAAATTTTTGTGCAACAGGATACATTCAGAGATGCCTAATAGGAGGATCAAACCAAGGTATATGGGAATAATTTTCTAATTAAACTTGATTCACAAATGCATACGTCATATTATTTGCTCATGGCAAAGTCTTTAAGATCGGATATTAATTTATTATTTAAACAATTTTCTTCAGATTAGGCTTAATTTTCGAATGCATAAGGGCTATTAAAATACAGAAAAATACCCATAAACACACACACACACACACACACACACACACACACAGCCAAGTTATCATATTATTGCCTATGTTTATGAAATAATATGAAACCTAAAATTATACACTACAGTAGCATAAAGTACATGTCATGTAAAAAAAACAAACAATGTTTTATCAAACAACTGGATATCACAATTCGTCTACGAGTTTATTTATACAAAGTAAGCATAGAACATGAATAATACCGCGATCCACAAGTATACAATCTCAATTTCAAGACAGAAGTTCATATCGAATCAAAATTTTAAACTATTTTCAGTGTAAGGCAGAAATAACTTTAATTTTACTTATTTTCACCCTTTACTTTTTGTGTGTGAATGTTTTATGATTTTCTCTAAAGGAATTATATGATAAGCTTTAATTGTTTAACTGGAAACAGTTGTAACTAAGATGAACACACACACACACACACACACATATATATATATATATATATATATATTACTGTAAATTTAGGTTAAGTTAATGTCAACATTCTGGGTATCAAACTTAATCTTTTCTACTTTGCTTCACGATTTACGCGCAAAGTTTTACAAGGGTTAACCCCAACTTTCAAAATAAATACACTAGACAGAAAGCAGCTAGTCAACAGTACCCAACGCCAACTCTTGGACTACTATTATCTGAGCGAATAGTGAAATATGACCGTCACTCTTATATTACACACATGGCTCCAAAATGCAGAGCACTTTTTTTTTTTTCGGTAACGTGATTCGAGCCATAAATCCTAAAATTCACACTCCGATGACGCTAACTACTAGAATGGACCACGCCCAGTCCTATTTTGTTATAAATATTACGTAACAATATTTTTTTTATCCTTCGTGTTTTGAAACTTTGTATAATCTTTATGATTAAGTAATGAATAATAAGGTTAAATTACATCTTGATACACTGAGAAATAATTTGGTTTTCAATGAATAACAACATATTATATAAATATGGAATAATGTATATAAAGGATCAATTCCTGAAGATAAACTTCCCTCGTGTGAGTAAAATTGATAGGACGTAAAATATTATTTATTTAAGTTCAACCTTTGGCGCGGCCCTGTGATAGAGCTCAGGATTTGAAAGTTGGCGATGCGGTATAGATTCTGTACGATAAGATGAAATATTTTCTGTGGTTTAAGGTAAGGGTGCGTTATACAAGTGACAGTCAGTTTCTTAAAGTGGCTTGTTGGTGGTAGGGTGTTGCTGATTGGCTGCCAGTAGTTCAAAATTAGTGTCGGCGGCAGATAGTCTTAGCAGATTTGCCATGAATACAAAAATACAAATACCTGTGAGGCAAACGTAGAGACTAAAAATGCGTTTGTCCTGCCTGGATGATCGTAGTCATGCATGGCAGCCGCAGTGTATAGGGCCATCAGTTCTAGGGCAGGGAAATTTGCCCCTATGACCCCGTAGGTATAGTTGGCTTCGAAACACTGCTTGTAGACTGGCGTTCCACTTTCAATAACATTTTCTGAAAAACAAGTAAACTGTCTAAAAGAAGTTTAAAAACTAAAAAACAAAAACACTGACTATGGGAACGTGACAGAAAAGACAGTTTTTTTTCGAATGTAAAAATTCGCATCTATAAGCCTAATTTTTGATACTATTGTAAGCCATTCACACTTCACTGTCAGCAACTGTTTCATCATTGTCCAATGGCGTAAGTATGTCCCCTTAGCCCCAAAATTGGGCAGAGGGGGCCAAAAGAGGGCCCGAATTGTAACTGCAATTATAAGGAAATAAATATATGGACCCAGTTACTTTTTATGCCGAGAGAGGGACTTATCTTTTGTAGTTAAGGCCATTGCCACTGTCCTACAAATACCATTTTATGTAGGCTTATTTACTTGATCGAACATGAATAAGTAATAATAATAAATTCAAAGTTTTTGTCGAAACGTTAATACGACTTTTACCAAGTCATGTATTTATTTGTTGTTTCATTATACGACGAATGTATTCTACTTCAACGAATCACACTTACCCAAGGTTTTGTGTAGGGGTGAATCTGTTGAATCTGAAGGCATTTGTATGAAACCAGGGACCGGCTGGGAGGTGAGGTGATAAACAGCATGCAACACGTCAGCAGCATGCATAGAGTTGTGATCTAAAGTAAAGATATGTAAAACAGCGATCAGTAAAATGTTTTGTTTTTTTTTCATTTAACGGCTGATATCGCTTTCAAATAATGCTCTCTCATAAGATTGTGAAATATTACCATACGTTTTAAAATGTTATGTTTCAAAACTTCTTTTCATTTGCTCACAGTTGTTTAATTCAGTCGTTTTAACAATTTTTATAAGTTGAAGTAGTATAAAAACGCTTGAAAATAATGAGGAATAAACTTGTAAACTTTTTACACTTCATGACATAATCGTATACCATACACCACACACACACGAATTCAGCGTTCCTTATTGTAGTTTATTACATACTTATACAAGTCGTCAGATTCAGAATTCCTTATTCTACTTTGTTATACACTCAAGCAAGTCATCACATTCAAAGTTAAGTGTCTTTATTCTACTTTGAAATCTGAATCTGACGACTTATGCGGGTCTCTAAGAGTGTCCCTTATTCTACTTTGTTATACACTCAAGCAAGTCATCACATTCAAAGTTAAGTGTCTTTATTCTACTTTGAAATCTGAATCTGACGACTTATGCGGGTCTCTAAGAGTGTCCCTTATTCTACTTTGTTATACACTCAAGCAAGTCATCACATTCAAAGTTAAGTGTCTTTATTCTACTTTGAAATCTGAATCTGACGACTTATGCGGGTCTCTAAGAGTGTCCCTTATTCTTCTTTGTTACACACCCATGTAAGTCGTCAGATTCAACCATGTTCTAGGGAAATTAAAGAAGGAAAGAAACAAAAATGCTTAAAGCGTAGGTAATACAATGTTAACTTTTGCGAAAACAGAGTGAAAAACTGGGGTCAGTTTGGTTGCAACAAACATAGAATGATAATAATGGATTACATGAGAACAACATTATATTTAATATTTTCCTAAGTATATTGTATCATGAGATCCACGTGATTTATGAACACCTTCTTGGCAAAAAATCCAAATACTTTGCTATGTATGAATTTTTTTATACGAAAGCTTTAATTTTTCATTCTATTTTCATTATCACTATGTCCTCTTGTACTTTACATGTTAGGTATGGTAGTTGATATTTACAACCTGAGCTGCACCTTACGTAAACCAAGGGTTAGGTGGCCAGGTCAAAATCCCCAAGATTTAGGCGTAGCAATTCCTAATTTAGCTCTGCTGACAAGAGGGAGGAAAATTCAGTCAGTAGCACCCAATATTTAATTTTTTGTTATTTTAATCCAATAGCGGGATTAACTATTATGGTGATAATGATCTCTCTCCCGCCCAGCTGGAAGTGCAAAACGGAGTCGGTGGTATCGCGGCTTGAACCTAACGATCAACATCCAAACCAATAAACCATCCACAGACCAATTTTAAAGTTAACTGTTAACACAGAAGGGAAAGCTTATTAAGGACACTGATCGACTCTTCTATAACAGTTTTTTCTTACCTACTAAACACTATTACAAAAGACAAAAAAAAGCCGTCCATTTTGATTAAGCAATTGACTATATTAAAAAACATCCTTTTAAAACCAGTCAGAAAAATTTAAAATATTAAAAATTCATGTAAACTTAATAATTCAAATTGTCCCAATGACTTAAATGTTATTTTCATACAAATATTTCTTTAATTTTAGGTAAACAATACAAAGGGTGTATTACGTTATATTTAAACGACGTTGAATATGCAAATCATCAAGCTACATGAGAACCACAGCCGATGCAAGTCTACGGACTTACAACACTTAAATCCGGGGTTCGATTCCCCCCGTGGTGGACACAGCAGATAACTCAATGTGGCTTTACTCTAAAACAACCAAACCACAGACAATATAAAGTCGCGGTGTAATGGGAAGTATCAGAAATACATTTTGACAATGTTGGTAGTTTGGTGCCACCGAAAATTGAACGCTTTTGAGAAGGGATGTAAAGTATTCATATACTCAGATCAGAGAGATATTTTCAGATCTGGGATTTAAAATTTCCAAGGCGCTATTATCCCTTTTACTTGATGGCAATGGAAAACAAAGGAATATTGATCAACTTAAAGCAACGTTATCTAACCGGATAAAAATGACAGTACTTAGTGACACTCAACGAAGCGTATGTGTACCTTGGTGATTGTTAACAAGTTTTGAGACACTTTCTAACTGTCAACGGGTAAAAAAAATCAAACATGTCGTGAAACGTTTTTGAAGGGATTCATGATTACCGTTGAATACTGTGCCACTGGCGAGCTCGAGAGCAGGAGAATAACACAAAGGTAAAATCTGCTTATTATCAGTGTAATGTTCTAGACTCTTTGTAACACACAGAAATACGAAAACGTGGGCAACAGGGTATGGTTTTACCAAGATAACGCTTCCGGTCATAAACGTTCCGTTCACATGTCGCATATCTAATACAGCTAGGGGGTGGGGTGGGGGTGGAACGAGTATTCATCCTACACCATAACAGGCATATGATCAAGCTGCTGGGAAACGTGCCTATGGATTTATGAGAGATCAGACTGTTGAAACAGTAGCTGAAAAACAATCGCCTTAGTACAATAAACGGATTATGGATGGCTAACAGGAAGGAATGATGTTCTTCGGACACTACAGCTTTCGATGGAGTTTTTTTTTTAAATGTAAACTATACTACAGAGCTGTTGTGAAGATGCATGGTCGTCAGATATAGCATGACCGGACGTGCCAAAATTAACTGTAATGAAGTGGTGAGGCTCCAAAATAATTTTAATATAATGTATTTTATATTTGAGCTTTATGTTTATTCCCTGAAATTACATATTATCTTGCAGGTAAAAATCTTTAAGTGAACATTATAAAGTTATGTTAGTGTGAGCGTTACAAAAATATAATTCACATTAACCTTTTCCAAAATTTATTCGAACTTAAAATACAGAAAAGAGGATTATTAGAAGAGAAATTTCTGAATAGTACTACAGATGAATGAAAATTATCCTCTCTAACTTGGGAATGCCTTACCCTTTAACACTTATTTTTGATCTACCATTTTTATAGTCAAATATACTTCAGTATTAATTTTCCAACCTACTAGAATGCTTCGTATTTGTATAATTGTTGCAAGCTTCTCACAAGCGCCAATGGAGGCAATCTGCAAGAAGTCAGCAATATACCCTTCTGTCAGTGAACTATCGGTAACAAAATGCTCATCTGACGAGATAAACATTGCAGGACGTTGAATGCCAGACTAACAGAGACACGGCTCTCTTCACGTTGACATATGAAGGCAGAAGAATTCCACATAAGAACTTTTCTCGATGTCGCAATGGACCGAAGAAGTACAATGTCTGCAAGTATTGATCATCTGAGAAAAATCACTAAAGTCTTAACATTCTCAAATAAGTTGCAGTCAAAAAAGTGCAAAGGAGCCTCAGTAATCTGAAGAGAACAACAGTCATGAACAGAATGGAATCCATTTGTTTGCATCAGCAGCAAAGGCTACAATAACCGAGTTAAATAGAATGCAGAATGCGACAATGAAAATAGCAACAGAATCGCCAAACCAACACTGTGTCCAAGGGCATCGCTGGGCACCAGCTTAGTGTTCCGAGATTATCGTATGCGAGCTATAATATATGGTACTGAAATTATTTTGAGTAGCAGCTGCTTCTTGAGATCAAAGCCTCGAATCTTTTCGGTAGCTAGTGATGATCCTGTCTGTGAAAACCTGCGTAATTGGCATGGTCTGAGCAGCATTACTAGAAGACAAAGGATTCTAGCAAACCAAGTGATACTCAGAGGAACCGTAACTATATCTCACTTAGAGAGACTGAAATAGTCAAGTTATGGGCTATTGAGGCCAAGAAAAAATGTAGAGAAGGCATTTTCACTGAAAAACAAACATGTTGACTGGGTCCAGGGAGATAGCATTAAGGTAAACATGATGAAGAATAATGACAGCTGGATCTGGAGGAGAAAGCTAGGACTGATCAACACAACCAAAGTCATAGAATGAATACACGAGCAGAGACCAATACTGATCATATCAATGGATGAGTTAGTTAGAAAAGACGTGTCAGTATGGGGAGGAGCCACTTGAAGATATGAGCATCCTATTTTTGACTGATCACAGGCAAAAACTGGACGATCCAGTTGTTTTAGAACAGAATGTTGACCATTAAAGATCATAATATACTCATAGTCCTGACAGACTCTCTAAACCTAACCACAAAACTGGAGACTAGCTTTTCCCAAATATCATGAATAAAACGATTCCGAGACTTGAAGAATCATGTCATAATGAGCTATATTCTAGGCTACAGTGGCATATCATTTAACTAGAAAGTGGACCACCTTGCTAGTAAGGGGCAGCCTTTGGGCAATCTGCTAAGATCTCCAAGTAATGTTGTCATTGAAATAACGTGTAGATTGAAGGCATGAGACAAGATGGAACAGAGGTCACACTAGTTAACTGGAAGAAAGGAGGTGGGAAATATGGAAGTGAAGCGAGTGTGAAAGTATGTGAAGATAGACGCTACTGGATTCAAATTGAATTGGTCAATATTACTAGCAGAACCTTGAGAAGGTTATTGGTGAGATGAGAACTCACCCAACTCCTCAAGTGTAAAATAATACTAAAAATAAAAGTAATTAAATCATGTTAATTATAGTGGTGTTAAAATAACTTAATCTTCACAACAACGATGTTGCATAAAGTTTCAACACTTAGGCCTAAACGGTCGCAACGCTGCAAGAAGCGACTACTATTCTTAATATTTCTAGTACAGCTTTCTGAATGTTTCACGGAGATCTCTTTATGCTAAATCTATGTGCATTTGAAGTTCTGCCTTCATAAAAATATTTCATCTCGGAAATTATGTTCACTGTACTGGAAAAAAACAAACAAATAAATCAAAAACAAGTGATAGTCAAGATGTGAAAAGGTAACATTAGTGACTATGTTACGGGTGTACACTGTTGTGACAAGAACATAATACTCCACCACACAAAATTATAATCCTATACGCTTATACTAAATATA